ACTAGCCCAGGAAGCCGAATAATAACCCCTGTAACAATCAGCCCAAAGACCTAGGAGTTGATTAATAGATGCCAGCTTCCCTCATCTTTCTCCCTGCTTCCAACTTAGGGCCAAATGAAGAAAGTCAAATGTGCGCCCCTAACCAACCGTGTAAGATCGCCCTGCCTACTGCTTCCCCTGCCAACAGCCTCGGTCAGGGCAGACCTGAAGCCCTCTCTTTCTTCCACACTAAAGCTTTCCCACTCTGCTGCCTGCCTTTCAGTCTCTGCCAAATGCCAGTGATAACGGCTGGCTCTCTTGCAAGCTCTGAATAAATAGACTTCGCTTGATCTCATTTGGACGGTTTTCATTTATTTCCACACTCTGAGGCAAAGTCTTCCAGTCAACAAGCCCTCCCCACATACACAGAACTCCTCAGCAGCTTTACTATGGAGGGGAAAGAAGATCCTTATATAAAACCATGGAGGAAACCCACACCAGCTAGCTATAGAGATCACCCAGTCTTTCATCCTTAGATACAGACAGACAGCTGAAGTCACCAGACTCGGAGACCGGCAGCTCCAGGAGAAGGTCCAGAAAACAGAACAGATTGACGTTGGAGGAGACCTGTCACTCAGAAACTCGAAACGAGCTTAAAAACATTCTAATGAGATTTTTGGTGAGATTTGAAAAAGATATTACATCCATGAAACCAAAACAGTGGGCTGTGAAACACAGCAAAGAAATAAAAAAAGTCTCTTGGAAATTAAAGGTGGATTGCCAAAACTAAAAAGATTGGGAGATTAAGTTGAGAAACTCTGACAGAACAGAGAGCACAAAGATAGCCCGAATGTATGGCAGAAAACATAAGCCATTTTTTGTAACTTTTTCGTAGGTAAATCCAGAAAGGGTTGGGGGCAGGTCTGGGTAAGGGCCTGGGAATGGAGGTGGTTGGCTGGGGCTCTGTCGCTTTGCATTAGAAATCCTTTGATCTGTCTATGTTAGCCACGTGCACGAATCACTTTGATAAAAATAAATACCTAACTGCACATCTGATGGTTCCATTCCACTGCTTAAAACCCACCATTCTTCCCCATCACATAAAAGGACAGAGCTCAGTCTTTTTCCTGACCGTGACCTGCCACACACGAGCCAGCCCTCCCCCTCTCCCACCAACCCCTGAACCCACTTCAGTTCCACCCAACTACTGAGCAGGCTGAGTGAGCCTTCTGAGCTGAACCACACGCCCAACTTAGCTGGTTTCAAACCTACTTAATGTTTACGTCCCAATCTGAAAAATGAGAATAATAAGAGTGCCTGTCGAGGCTTTTGTGAAGATCAAAGGAGCTAACTCTCATATGTTACATATTTAGCAGAGCCCTGGGCATACAGTGAGTGATCAATAAATATAACAGTGATTGTGGCTCCCAGAACTAGTCTTGCTTTGTCCACCTCAATTTTAACCCTCCTTTGGCTACTCTATTTACGCCCAAAAATGCTTTTAAAAAATCGTTAAACCCTCAGCTTTACTGTCAAGTGCACATCCACTTAGACACTTCCTTCAATCCTCATTTCTTAAGAGATTTTAATACATTTGATACCTATTTGTGAAGCCACCATTTAGGAGCAATTGAAGGTCCTGCTTAGCCTGGTGCATACCTGGGGCCTCAGCTGGTTTTGGACCAGCCTTTACTTTCTCTTCTTGGTGAACTGCCCTCCTCAACTGCGGCTCAAGCCTCGCCCCTTTGTGAGGCCTTCTTGGGCCCCTCACCCCAACCCCTTTCTTGCAGATTTCCCATGAGTAACTTTGTCCCCACTGCTGTTGTCATCGGTCCCCTACTGCAGATATGAGCACTGCCTTTGGAGGGACTCTCTGTCTGTCTCCTGACTCCGTCCCCACCTGACCACATGAGACAAGCTCTGCCCAGTGGGCAAGCCTGGGAAGTGGAGGCAAGAGGGATGGAGGCTGAGTTTAGTTGGTGAGCAGGGCTTGCTAGTGCCTAGAAAGGCGAGCAGTTGTTAGAAAAGCCGGCCAAGTCAAGAGCAGCAATGCTAGAACCCAATCTTTGTCAAAAGATTATGGGGAAAGCACCATCTAATGCTGGGAAGCTGCCTGGCTCCAGGTTCCAGAAGGTTCTGAGTGAGCGACCGGGTCTACACACAGTGTACACTACACAGTGAGTGATCAATAAATCATGTACAGTGTAGTTCATGTACAGAAGGGATAGGAGGTCAGTGCTCTTCTCCAGTTCAGTTCTAACACTTCATGCCTTAGGTTGCTGCCCTGCCTGAGAAGCATACGCTATTTCCTAGTTGGCTTCTTCCTTTTTCTTTTTTCTTTTTTGCAAGTTAAATCATCTGGTCCAACCACCTCATTCCTCTCAGCAGAGAGAGAAACCAGAACAGTCTGACATGAAGGTCAGAGGAATTGCCAAGGCGGGCAGATCGCTCAAGGTCAGGAGTTCGAAACTAGCCTGAGCAAGAGTGAGACACCATCTCTACCAAAAATAGAAAGAAATTAATTGGTCAACTAAAAATATATAGAGAAAAAATTAGCCGGGCATGGTGGTGCATGCCTGTAGTCCCAGCTACTCGGGAGGCTGAGGCAGGAGGATTGCTTGAGCCCAGGAGTTTGAGGTTGCTGTGAGCTAGGCTGACGCCACGGCACTCTAGCCCAGGCAACAGAGTGAGACTAATAAATAAATAAATAAATAAATAAATAAATAAATAAATAAATAAAATAAAAAGAATTTTCAAAAGTCATATAGAAAGTAGAAAGACCAGATCGCGGGGTTTGTCCTGTTGGCGGGAAATACAAGCAGCTGGGCTGAAGGAGAAGCCCTGCCTGATGCCACTGGGTGACTTAGCCCAGAAAGAGGCTTCTCTCTACTCCACCCCTCCAAGGGTGGAGTTTGTCCTGCTGGGGAGAAAAGGCAAGTGGCTAGGTTAGGGGAGGAATGTTCAGAAAGCGACTTCTCTGGTTACTACCTTCCTCCAAGGGCGGGGCCTGCTCTGCGGGGCAGGGCGAGGGCGTGGCCTGAGACGGTAGTCTGGACCTGCCCTGCTGGGCTGGAGAAGGGGCAGTGCCCAGATGGGCAACACGCCACAGTTTCTAGGCTGTGGCCCCACAAAACGGCGGCTGCTCACCCACAGAGAGCCAGCGCTGGAGGCGACTGCTCGGGGGCAGTGGGTGCTGGGTTTGGCACATGCTGTTTCAATGAGCTGCCAGCTGTCCCCACTGCTTCCCTGACCCACAGTCTCACGTCAGTGCAGTAGGGGGTCCTGCACTCTCTGTCCCACTCTGTACCAGCCTTATCTTCTGCAGTTTCCAGGGGCAGAGCCTTCCTGTCGGTGTTCATCTCCCTTGGCCTGGTCAAAGGCGAGGTGCTTGTCTCCAAACTCCCTTCTGTGGCCCCAGGAAGTGTCCGCTCAGACCAGATCTCCCCGCACGCACAGTGTGGACCTAGCACAGAGCACTGGGGAGTTCAAAACATTTCCCGCTTTTGTCTCTTCTCCACACAGCCCTGCCACAACTTCACAATGACCTCAGGCGCTTCCCTGCCAGAGTGGATGTGGAGGTCGATGGAGGAAGAGTCGTCCTCCTGTGGGTCAAACCATACTGCCCCAGCCGGCCAATGGGCACCGCCATCCCATGCTCTGTTCCCTGTTGTCTATCTCGCACTCTCTAGGCTTTTTGGTCAATTCTCCAATTCACCTTTTTTTTTTTTTTTCCAGTGCCGCTTCTCTGCAGATTCATGATGGTTTTCTTGTGGGAAAGCAATCTACTCGTGTGTAGCTGTCCTCGTTCTTACCTGCTATTATGGGAGCAGAGAGCCAGGAGGTGGTCACCACTGATCCGCCATTTTCCTCCCTCCTCCCTTAGAAAGTCTCCATCGAAACTTTTTCTTAAAGGCATATTTTTAAGGGTATAAAAGCTCCCTTAAAAACCATCCCTAATTTAGTATATCCCAAAGTGAGTTTCTACATTTCACCATCTAGTTTCTTCTACAATCTTCTACCATCTATGACTCTCATGGTGTAACTGACTTCTGATTACATTACTCCTCTACTCAGAAACACTCCTTGACTCCCCACTGCTGTGAATCAAAGTCATTCTAGATCTTTGAAATCTGGTGGTGATTTTCTATCATCTACTAAGAAGGTATTTTATGTTCTTTCCACAGCAACTCCTTATAAAAAAATTAAAAAAAAAAAGACTAGATCAGAATTTGGGTTTCTACAATTCCAGACCAGTGCATTGTGACTTGGGGGGGTAAAAGGAGGGAGTTAAAAGGAAGAGGGGACCCTGCAAGCAGCTGAGGTAGCTGGTACCCAAAATATAGCTGATGGTCTGGGTGGCCCATCCCTGCCCTGGCTTTGGTTTTTTTGTATGGTGTATCCCTTACTGAAACCAAGGGGGTGTCAAAAGTACTCGCATCAGAGAGGTGTCATTAGGATGTATGGCAGATTACTGAGAGGTTCATAATTGTTAGGTATGTAACGACTTAACTTTAAGGCTTTAGCGGTAGGCAAACTGGCTTTCTCTTTGTGCACCTTGGATATCTGCCCATAGAACAAAGACACGCTGGTCAAAGTAGAGGAAAGGCCCACTGCCATTTTTTTTTTTTTTTTTTCAAGCAAAATACATGTGCACCCACTGCCATTTTATTGCAGGCTCTCACAGCAGGGGAGGCCGGGCTGTCACCACCAGCTCTACCATGGATGGGAAGGGCCTGCAGTCCCATCACAGCCCCCATCCCTAAAGGCAGGAGGGGGCAGGTCACCTTGGCACTCCCAGCCCTTAGCTGCCACCCAGCTGGGCTAAGGCCAACCAGAGCAGCAGAGGGGCCTGGGAAGGAATGTGCAGGGCTCCCACCAGCCGCTGCAGCCTCAACATCCCACCCAGCCCCAGCCTGTGCTGCCCATGCCAGGGGAGGGCCTGAGGAGGGACATGGCCTAGGCCTGGCCTGGTTCGCAGATGGTGGGGAGCACAGGGGTGTGGGTGGGAGGAGATGGGGCCTTCAGGAAAGGAAGGACAGGAGCAGAGAGAAGGCCGCAAGCGTGTAGGAGAGTTCCCAGGATGGGGCAGGGTTGGCGAAGAGGCGGGCCACGGCCTCGTTGGGGTTGTCCTGGGCAGGCTGAAACCACTTCTGGAGACATCGCCCACTGTGCTGGTGCTCCGGGCTCGCCCTGAAGGAGTTGCTCCAAACCTTCTCGCACAGGTCGGCCGGGGTGGGGAAGTAGTGGGGGAAAGGGAGGCACCGGGCCTTTGGGGGGCAGCGGTTCTTCCCTGTGGGCACCGGGGGTAGACAGCTGACTTCCACTGCCCTCCCCACCCCACCTCCACCACACCTGTGACCGCCCGGGGCCACCCAGGGGCCCACCTCCCCAGCCCCGGCCCCACCCCTCACCCTGACTCCAGTCCCAGCCGCTGAGCCAGTTGGATTTGCAGGTGTACGACCAGCGGCAGTCCTCCCACCACTCCTCGCAGTCCTCCCGGCACAGTGGCACGTCCACCACGCGTTCTCCTTGCCGGCCCCGGGCTGCCTGTTGCGTGCATAACAAGAGACAGGATATTACAGCAGAGGTTTGGAGACTGCCAATAGCTACCATGGTACTCATGCTGGGTGCCATCTGTACATGTCTTTTATAGTCTCTAGGTATTATTTTACAAGTGAGAACAAGGAGGCTAAGAGATTAGTTTTCTCCCAGGCTGAACAGCTAGTAGGTACAGAAGATGGGATTCAAACTTAGGTCTATCTAACTCCACCAGCCTCCCTGGGTGGCAGCCCCTCATCCCACTGTTCTCATCAGACCACTGTCCCCACCAGCTGTTCTGTAGCAGGGGCCGCTGGCTCTGCTCTTATCCAGAAGGGGACAGCACTGCCTGTTCCTCCTAGCATCCTGGAGATGCCAGCAAGGGGTCAGATGAAAATTCCAGCTTAGTAACAGGGCATTGCACAAATCTGTGCCCTGCCCCTCCCACCCCTGCCTTCTGCCCCAGGCTTGTCACCGGCCGGATCCAAGGCCCCAGGTTCGGAGAGCACTCGTAGAAGCACGTGGCCTGGATGAAGTGCTTCTGGCAGCCCGGCATCAAGAGTCCACAGTGAATCCTGCTGAAGTTGTAGAGCGGGGACACATCCAGGTGGGCTTCCCAGCTTGTCTCTGCCGTGCAGCAGGCGTTGTCCTTCCAGGGGAGGCACTGGAGGTGGAGGAAGAAGCCAAAGGCACAGGGAGTAGAGGCAGGGGCTGGTGAGTGTCGAGGGCAGAAGGTTGGCAGATGAAAGTGTCCCTTAGGAGAAGGCCTGAGCAAGTGGGATGGCTTTAGCCAGTAAGCCCCTGTACAGGAGCAACCTTGATAACCTCTACCAACATTCTGCCAAAGGCCAGAGGCACCTGCACCCCAACCTCCCTGCCACAGGCTGCTGCAGTCGTCTGGGAACATAACTTCTGGGGTCTCAGCTCCTAGGCAGCAGAGGCCTTTTGGGGAAAAGCAGACAGACAGAGGAGGCCCAGTGAGACCCAGGGGAATCTGGGGTTGCACTGGGTGGAGGGACTCAGGCTAAATGCCAGCTCTGCTCCTCTTCCCACACCCCTGGCAACTGCCTTTAGGAGTTGGGAAGGGGTCACTTAGGTCATGTTTTCTCAGGGCCTGTTGGTGAGAAGGCTTGTTTTAATCCACACTGAACCAACACAGGCCTCTGAGGTCACCATCTGACCCTGTGCCCCAAGTGGCTGGAGCAGCTCAGAGATGAGCACTTTGAATCACTTGGCTCTTACAGTATCAAAAAGGTATAGCCTCTCTCCAGCTGCCTTTGCTCAAATCCCAACCCAAGGAACCAAACTATCATGGTTGAAGGGGTCCAGAGACCATCTTGGCATTTGGGTCCCTTCCCTGATCTGCCAAAGAAGCCCCCTTTTCACCCCCAGGCCAGGTCTTGCCTCCGTACTACCTCCTCATAGAGCTTGTCTTCTGGGCTGGGCTTTCTCTTGTGGTGTCTGGCATTCATGCAGACGTTGAGCAGCTCGTCCCCAGCCCAAGTGGGCATGACTGTCCACAAACCTAGCAGGAGCTGCCACCACCGTGCCATGGCCTGCTGCAGAGAGAAGAGGCATGCCGCTCACTCATTAGAGAGGACAGTCCCACCCCATGCTCTTCCCCAGCCCAGGCACTGAAGAGGGAAGATGGGCTTCAAGTCTCCCTCAAGTGACTGTCACACTCTGCCTGCTCCTGGGACCTTCTATCTGAGGCAACATAACAGAATGCCGCGTCGGTTGGAATAACCCTTGGAGGTCTGACTCCACCCCCCACCCCCAACCATTGTATAAAGGCAGAAACTGAAGCCCAGAGAGGGGAAGAGACCAGCCCTAAGGTGAGCTTTAGAGGAAGAGGGGTTCCAGCCTTCCCTGGGGGACTTTTCCCAGCCCTTCTCCCCTTGGAGGCAGCCTCTCTTAGTCCATGGAAACTCAGAGCTTTAGTCTTGGCCCACATCAAGCCTCCAAATGCTGGCTGAGTAACTGAACCAGATGTCCAATAACCAGACTGCCCTTGGGGCCAAAGGGCAAGGTGGGACTGGGTAGTGTGGCCAATGCAATCCTTGAGTGTTGACCCCAACTCTAGCCTCTATGAGGGGTCCAGGTCCAAGCAAGGCCCAAAGGTCCTAAGAGCCATGTGTCCCCTCCCTTTTCCCCTAGCCAGAACCCTTTCCTCTAGAGCAGTTCTGCTTCTGCCAGCTTCAACCCATCTCACACCCATCCTGAGCGCGAGGCTGGGGCAGCCAAGTGCTGGGGGCCTTGCCGGCCCCTGGGAGCCAGGTATACACGCCGGCATGAGTCACGGGAGGAGGCTTCCACATCCAAAGCCCATCCCCATCACAGGGGCAAGAACAACCTCTCCTTTGGTGTTTGTTAAGTCTATTTCCAACTCTGATCGGGATAGTAGTGGCAATGGTGGAGAGTGGAAAGGGAGACAGAAACCAAAAAGACAGAGGAGCCTCCTGCCTCAAGTATCCAACCCCTTAGGAAACAGGCCCCCCTCAGCCTGCACCATCCAGGAGCCCATGGCTGCCCCAGTCCCTCAGGCCTGGCAGAAGCCTGTCCTGGGCCCATCATGGCGAAACTGGAAACTTCTAGCCTGAATTTTGAACCTCAAACATCATGAAGATGAAGACCCTAGCCCTCTGCCCTTGTTAGAGCCCATCCTTGAGACTAAATCTAAGCCTGATCTCTCTCCATGGCACCAGTTTCGAGCTCAGGTGATTTTTTTTATAGAATCAAGTACATTAGGTGAAAAGAGGAAAGAGGATGCCCCTTCTAGGGGCATACTCACCGTATGCTCTTCGTACTCACTTTAAAGGCAGGAGCTTCCAGGTGCTCCCTCCCTCCCCCAGAGACGCGAGGCTGAGGGGAGTTCCGTGATCCCACCCATTTAATACCCAATCCGCTTTCTACTAGGCCCAGGTGCAGGAGCAGAGCTCCAGGTGTTTCCAGTTAAACAGTCTGACCCAACAGGCCTCCCATGGGTTCCAAGAGTGTTTCAAGAGAAACAGAGGCTCTATGTTGGGTAAGATCTGGGGTTCTTCAATCAGATACCGGGTTCAACTCTCAGCTCTGCTGCTCACTAGCTGGCTGACCTTGAGAAAATTACTCAGACTCTCTGTCAGTTTCCCCACCTGTGAAGGGAGTTGTAATGGGATTGTTGGGAAAAAGAAATTAAAGAGAAAGTTCATAAAAAGAACAACTTGGCATTGCACCTAGCACAGAGTGAATCTTAATGGTTTGGATTCTATTCTTTTCTTCTCTGAGCCCTCTCCCTCCTCCCTGGTTCCACGGCTCTATTTCCCCCTTCATCAGCTCTGTCACCTGGTGGTCTGAGTATCAGTGTCCTCCCACAGCCCACAGGAGCTAAGGTTCCTGCAGGAGGGCAGGCCCAGCAGGATGCAGAGATGAAGTGTGGCCTTGGAGACCCAAAAATTTAAACTATGATCAAAGCGAAAGCAAACAAAACCAAAAAAAACAGAAAGAAAGAAAGAAAGAGACTCCCTTAGCACCGCGGGACGACATTCCTGTGAAATATTCTACAAGTGTCTCGGCAGTGATAATATTCACAAGAATATCCATCTCAACTAAGAGACTGGAAACTTGGACAGGACTCTTGGGAAAATCCCAAAGATGATGAAAATACTTGAAAAGCAGCCTATTTCTTTGTCTGTTTTTATAACAAGTTCCTTCTCTAAAACAGTAGTAGCTAAAGTCACTGAAGTTTTATTGATACATAGGAAATTAAAACAAAACACTTAAAGCATTCTTTAACTGAAAAAAATAAAGCACACTCTGTGTTGTTCAGCTACACAGTTGATGTGCAAAGCGTGTATTATCATCATGTTGGAAAATGACCTTTTCCACACCTGGGTAATCACAGCCACTGAGTACTAAGTACAGACAAGGACCCAGGCACTGGGCTGGTGCTATCTGTACATGGTCTGATGTTTCAAAACAACCCTCAGAGTGAACACCTTTCTTGTTTCAGCTGTGGGGAAACTGAGGCTCAGCTGGGCGTGGCAGAGCTAGGATCTGAATTCGAGTATACGCGACTCCTTATCTGAAGCTTAAGAACCAGGTGTGGGGGAGACCCCCAGCACTAAAAGAGTAGCTGCTGCCTGGGTCTCAAGTAAAATATGCTTTTTAACACATATTAATTGTCATGTGAGTTGCATTTAACTCACGCTAGTTTTGAGTCCGGGCGGGGCCTCGTGAAGCATATATAACTCACATGTCTCTTCACCTTGGGAGTCGTGAGAACTATTTTTCTTTCTTTTAATTTATTTTTTATTTTTTCTTTATACTTTTTATTTCATTTTCCTTTTTCTCTTCTCAGTGAAGAATCAGCATTAGTGAGAACTATTTTTCAAGTTACATATAATTCATGCACAGAAAACAATAAAAAATCAAATTCTTCATTAAACTAAAAAGAATCATTTTGTTTCCGAAGTCCTTATTCTATTTTCATAATAAAACACTATGGCCTCAAGGAAAAAAACTTTTTTTTTCTAGTGTGGTAGTCAGTGTGTTAAAAAAAAAAAAAAAAGTTAAATGTCATAATCAGATTATGTGTGTGCTGGGAGGCACGTGTCGGCTTTATCTAGAAACAGTGTTGGTTACCAGCCCAGCCTCCCTGGTCCCCACCTTAAGCAGAGCCAGGAGTCTCCTCTTTAGGGTCAGATTCCAAATGGTCATGACATCTCTATAGCATGAGTACTGTCACAAGGGTGTCCGCTTGGCGGGGCGAGAAGCGGGCTCTCATGTCCTGTTCACTTCCTCACAAATACTCAGGGAGCTGTTAGCCTCGGAGGGGTAAGAGATTTGGGGGTTAACGTTACCTTAAAATGGCTTGTGGACGTGACAGGGTCAAGAGTCCAGAAATGAATCACAGAAGTAATTACCGAAATGGAAAACAGGTCCTCTGCTAACTGTCCTTCCTACGGAGGGAAGGACAAGGAGCGAGTTGCTAACAATCTCTAGGACAAAGCGGCAGGAAATGAGCTAAAATTACAGCAGCGCAGATGCAGGTGGAGGCAGGCGGGAGGAATTACCGCTGCCTTTCAAAGAACCATCAGGCCGCCCCGCATCTGCTCCCGGGAGAGGCAGTTTGTAGCCCTTAAAGCAAAGCTCATTTTTGCCTTATTGTGACTGAGTCTTCCAGAGAAATCTGTTTTCCTACTGAAAGATGATAAATCAAAGCTGGCTGTGGATGAAGCCATTTGAAGCGGCTGATCCAAAACAATTTTATTCTTTAAAAAAGAAAAAAACAAAACTCTACAACAAAACAGAACACTCAAGTTGCCAAGAGAAGAGGTACAGCAGTGGTCCGAGGGCTCTGGGGGAGGATGAGGAGGGTGAGGGCTGGTTTGGGGCCACAGGGATGCTAGGCAGAGATGACTCTCCCCACTCCCCTGTCACGAGGTCACCCAAGGGGCTGAAGCCCACTGAGTTCGGACAGACCAAGAAGGAAAGAACTAGCACCAGGAGTCTGGCGGAGAGAAGCTGCTGCCAGAGGCCAGCTGGGGCTACTCCAGTGATTCGGAGTTCTCAGGGGGTCTCACGAGTCCTTCTCACATCTAAATCCATTGGCTCTTCTTATCTAAACTCTTATTTGGTTTCCAGCCAGGGCAGGTAAAACAGGTGTGGATTAGCCTTACTTCTTCCTTCCCTCTGTGTCCATCCGATTGCCAAAGCTGTTGATGTAACTCTCTAAGTATCTCTTGAATTCAAACTTTTTAATTCCTATTTTCCCATTATGATCAGCTGTTGTCTCACTCACTACAACACAACCTTCTAACTGGTTCTCTCGCCCATTTCCAGAGCTGTGTTCAGACAGCGGCCAGAATGATCTAATCTCCCGGTATCTTATTAGGAACATTTTCAGACATAAGGAAAGTTGAGAGAATTTTACAATGGGACTTCCATGTACCCGCCACTTAGATGTTACCATTACCATCTTACTATATTTTCTGTTATGTGTAGCCAGCCATCCGTGCCACTATCCAGCCATCAATCTTACTTTTTATGCATTTCAAAGTAAATTGTAGACATCAGTGTACTTTTTCCTAAATAATTCAAGCCTGCATGTCATTAACTAGAGTTCAATATTTGTTTGCAGTCTCTCTTTTTATTCAGAATGATCTTTTTAAAATGTAAAGACAGTCCATGATACTCCCATGTCTAAAATCCTTCTAGACTTTAAGATAAGTCCCAGATCCTTGACATAGCACAGGGACTCTTTTTAATCTGGTCCCTATTTACTCCTCCACCCTAATCTGTTGTCCTTGGTCTCATCTGCACTCCAGGAACTCAGGGGTCTGTGTTTGCCCTGCCCCTGGCCGGCGGCTCCTCTGCCAGGGCTGTTCTCCCAGAGCTCAGCACTGCCTGGTGACTCCCACGTACCCCTCAGCTCCCAGAACGGGTGGCCTCCCTGAGGGGCAGTCCCCACGACCCCTGTGGGTTGGTGAGATGTTTCCTTGGCATTACGCTTGCTGCTGTCATTGCACCCACCAGCCGCCTTTGGGAATGCTCGAGTGCAGCCTCCTCCCGC